CATGACACAATCAGTGTTTAAACACAATCAATTTTCCTTGTCACCGTCATATACACTTATACAGAGTGAATCTTTTAATGTTAGTAACTTAATTTCTCTTAAAATAATAAGTTTTTTGAAAAAAAATTTTCCGTTTTTGTTAGTTATATATATATATTCATTTTTCTGTCATAAAATCACTTGTATGTCTATCCTTTATTTGTTATAGGGGTAATAACTTTATTTATTTAGATGACAACATATGTATTAAACCAGTTTATGAAATAGAAAATAATCTAATTACAAAAATGACTGGTTGACAATAACATTTGGACTAATACTTTGAATATTATTAGTATTATAAGATATAAAGTGAAGGTGATGCTGCTACTTTTATCATAAGTCATTTTCTGGCCGTACTTTATCTACCGCATAGGTACAAAAATATGAATATCAGAATAACTGGTCTAAAAATCATTATCGACCAGTCATTTTCTATTTTATAAGCTAGTTTAATACATATGTTGTCATTTAAATAAATAAAGTTGACACTTTTATAAGATTTAAGAAATGGAACTAAAAATTATTTTATAACAGATAATTTAAAATACATAAGTAACTATTAAAATCAAAACTAAAAATTTAAAAAAACGTATTAATAGAAATTTATAGAAATAAAGTGTCTAGCGTTAAAATAATCACCTTGTACAATTAATAATTATTAATATAGCATTATGATTATAATCATAATGCTATATATTTTAAATTTTTTTTTTAATTACTGCACTTAAATGTCAAAACGAATTAATATAAATTTTAAAAAGTAATTAATAGTACATCCTCATTTTTTTGTTGACTAAAATTGATTTTCTTTTTTATGTAATACTTTTATATTACATGAAATTCAATTCATGGAATATATAAATAATTTTCTATCTTTTGAATAACTTGTAATTATTTAATGCTACTAAAACTATTCAGTGTTTAACTTTTATCATAGCATAAATGTAGTGCCAATGTCCAGATCCCCAGGGTTATACTAAATTATCAGACTATTCACAGACTAATGAGGACTGTAAACATTTATAAAATATTCTAAAACTTAAAATAATTAAAATAGTTTACTTTTGTGCTATTTAAAAATCATATAGTATAATTAATACGAAATAGTAAGTCAATAAAATATTTTTTTTAAATATATGAAATACTTTTTGCATACTTCAAATAAGATTAATTTGATACATCACAAATTTATTTTATTATAGTCAACATGCTCCATTAAAAATGAAATAAACGATCAGTAAGTGACGTGCAATACCCTACATAACATTTTAAATTGATTTCAATCTCAATGTAAATACATTAAGTCATGAAAATCCATGTATAGACAAACAGAATGTTGAAATTTTTATTACCTTTTGAGAACCTTGAGCTGTTAGATAAAATATCTATTTGCAGACCTAATTTTATTATACCTGATATTTATTAGGCTTTAATTTTATTATTCTTACATAAATTTTGATTTCCATGAATCAATTCTGAAAAAGAAGATTCAGTGCCTACATTACGGCTCTTAATAGCAAATACTATTATAATAAGTGCACAAGATAGCTGTTAAAATACACCATTGTGTTAAATATGAATTGTATTAAATTTCAATTTAAGTGTAATGTTTTTGTTAAAATAACATTAGCAGAAACTTTGGCAACTTTGCACATACCGACGCAATAGATCTGTCAAAAAGTTTTCTAAGAAAAGTGAAAACAATAAAATTCGATTAAAACTTAAGCCTAAATTTAAGTGATGACGTTTTTGGGGTTAGTATCGGTTAGTCGTCGTCATTTGTTAGTACGTCAACATTTACTTAAAATACTGTGAAATCAATCTAAACCTATCAATTATTACTGGACCGCAACTTTTCGACAGTTGCTTAGAATGACTATAGCAAGTAGTATTTTAGCAGTATTTGCAGTAATAAACACAATTTTCAATCAATAATGTAAGTTGCTTTGTGCAGCTACCTGAATACGTTGTACGGTCAAAGTCGATAACGGTTTTCTCCTGTTTTCCTGAACATAACTGAAGTTTGTCGCATGTCTATTTCAAACCACTCGAAATCATTGCCCGTCATCCCATTGGCGCCCAAGGGGACTTTGTTGTCGACAACAGTTGCAATTTAATAAAATTCAACTTAATTTAAGGGTAAACCAAAAGAAAGTATTTTCTGTTAACAACAATTCACTCATCTCATTCAAACAAACAAATCTTCAGGAATAATTTTCGTCTTTTCGAGTGTCAATGTTTGATTGAAATATTTTTTTAATAATAAAACCTGGCGACATTAAAATTTCATTTGTTTTCAACGCATAAATACGTACATAGAGACTCTATATATGTCTATATATTACATAATATATATATATATCATGTAATGTGTTATTGGATTTTCAGTTTGATAAGGTTAGAATAGAAGGCTACAGGGATGCCATTAATATTATAGTTGCCATGCTTTTCTCTTATATTCTTCTATATATACTTTTTTTGCTCTACCAACTGCGTGTGGAATTTTAATAATACCTCCGATGACTGAGGCAAAGTACGGAGAAAGGTTGCCATAGTATGGACAATTTCAACTTACATTTTTCGACACATGATAAATTCAGCGAAACTTTATTCAATGATATTTAATTATATTTTTTTATAAACTATGTTCAAAGTTTCAAATTAAAAACTTCTTGATACTCTATAAAAAAACACAATAAAAATTTTGCCACTTATTTTCAATTATTTTCAATTATTTTTTAAAAACAGCTATTCTAAAAATTAATATACTACAAGATAAACAAATTTAATTAATGGAATTTCATATTAGTTATGTAAACAAATATGAGAAAATCAATATTGATATTTTATTACTCATCTTGTATTTCTATATTTGTGTTTTCCAGTTCACTGGAATAAATAAGATAGGATTATTATAACTACACATTAGTTTTAAAATTAAATTTACATACCACGTGTATTCCTTTAAATTTATAATATATTGATATTAAATAATCATTTATTTTATGTAGTTGATAAAAGTTTTTTTGGGTTGTATAAAATAATGATTTTTAAAAAATCAATAGTTTAAATATTTTATCCAAGTAATTATTCAAACGAATACAACTTTTACTTAAACTTTCATATAACCTTTGAGTATCAAAATAAATTAATTGTTACCTATAAAGTATAAGAATTAAGTATTTAAGTTTACATAACTTAAAAGAATAATTTTCAATTTATTTAATTTTTATGCTGATAAGAACTTAAATAAGGTACCATATAAAAAAAATTTACTGTCAATTTAATTTATTCCTACATTCAGTTTATTTAACCTAACTGTCAAACATTAATTAAAATTTTTAAATATTTAAATATTTTACTCATATTAAAATGAATGAAAAAATATTTCTTGATTACAAAAAATATGCATTAAACAACATAAGTAAACAGAATTATTCTCGTAGGCAATGCTTAACCTATATTTTAGCTTAAAAATTCCCCAAAAAAAGTCTCATCAACATTTTTTTGGAAGTACCCTTTACTCTATTTAAAACCCAAGAAGTTATACTATATATATATATAAGTTTAAAAAATAAATGTAGTTAATAATAAGTTAGAACAATAAGTTCAAATTTATTACAATATTACTAAGATAAATATTATTTTCATATTAGAATAAATTATTTACTAATATGAATATTTTACTAAAACTTCTATTAAACATCGAATGGAAGTATCGGGTTTATTTATCATACAAAACTTTAAAGTCTAATATTATACTTTAAAACTATTTTATTATATTTATCTATAAAAAATTCATCATAAATATTTTAGTCCGTGTATTGTTGAAGACAAGGTTTTATAACAACACACACTTAAAACTTAAACTTAAAGGAATGCACGTTATTCAGACGTGATTGTCCAGCGTCGTTTCATCAGTGTTAACGATAACACCACAAATAAAATAAAACTTTCATTTTCTGTGATAACACTCTGTTCGTCTTGTCTAGCGGTTGGTAGATAGGACAGGTCATGAGATTCAGTTCGGCGAGACACGTCGGGGACTTTGTAAACCAATTCACCTGTGACTTACATCCGCCGCACGTGCCGCCAATTACATTTGACAAATTTTATTCTTGCTCACTACATTATTTAATTATTTTAATATAAACATATTGTTTGGTTATTAAAATAAATGAATCTATTATTTTCATAATAAAGAAAAAGCGTTTTTGTTGTTTTAATATTACTATTAAACAACCCTCATATCATGCCAATGCATACGATTTAATATTGAATCATACATTTCAATAGTATAATAAAAACCTTTAAACGATACAAAAATTATTTAACCAAATAACTCTATACAAGAATTATTTGTTTGTTTTTTAGCTCTTAATAAAAATCCCAAAAAATTTTTTTATTTTATTTTGTAGAAGGAAAATTATTAATTATTTTCTTTTAAACTGAAAAAAATACTTAACTATTTACTCACTATTTATATTAAGTTTGATTAAAAGAAAAATATGAATTTGTATGCGATACATAAGCAAAGCATTTATATTTCAAAGAAACCTAAAATATCTAAACCATTACCAAACGTGTCAAGAATTTATTCTTATATTGTTTAATATAACACTTGTGCAATATACTTTTTTTTTAATGGCAAACTAAATACTTATAAAAATCAAAGTTTTAAACCTATTAAATTTGTGAAAAAACTAACTACTATTTAATTATTAGTAAAAAAAAATTGATATTTTTGTGAATTAGGTTGTAATATAAAATAAGTTTCCTAATTGTAGTATATTTAGAAAATGATTTAAGTTTTCAAAATACGATTTCAAAACTATTTAAATCAATTCAGAGATAATTTTTGTATTAATAAAACATACTACAAGATTAATGCAAAATTATTTTTAGAGTGTAATTATATATATATAGTTTAGCATTCTCATTTCATTTTTAATTTACAGATGATATATGTGAAGAATGGCCACATAATTTTCAGCCTGCTCCTGGTTACTGGATTGAATGTTCGCGACAAAAGATTACTAGCGAAGCTGGTTGTGTCGAAGAATCTGGATCAGATGAAAGAGATATGAACAATGGCTCAAACTCTGATGGGGGTGAGGGAGCTCCCGACTATTGTTGTAGTCGCTATGGGCGAGCACGGGGTTCGGATAGCTTGCTTTTAGAAGACGATGAATATTATCCATATGATGATGACTATGTCATACCACCATCCAGGTATTTTTTTATACTTTTAACAGTACTACACTTATTAATATTATACTATCTTATTCTTTCTAAAACAAATAAATATATAAATAAAACAATTTTTAGAAATTAAATTCCATTCGAAAATGATTATTATTTTTATACGTGAGCGAGGTGAGGAATGGGTCTTGAAAATGTTAAATAATATAAATAGTGCCCTTGTCTATACTTTAATCATTTTTGAAGTACTTGTCCAAAATTGTTATCGATCCGTAATTTTCTCTTTTAGATCATTTACTATTTTTAAGCTAGTTAATTGTTCATATTATTAATTAAAGCACCAAAGTTGACACCCCTATTATTCATATGGCTTGATGCAAAAAAGTAATTAATAGAACATAAATCAAGAAATTCATGTGATGAAAAAAACTATTTTTTCAATATTGTATTTATGTTGCGATTTATTAAGTTGTTAATTATATCGAATCATCCAATATCATAAAAATACTTTTGCAATTATCCCACTGAAAAAAATTTCAGCCGTCATTTTTATTGATTATTAAATTAATCATATTTTTGTCATTCGAACAAAATATTTGTTTACTTGATGATGTTTTTATTTTTCTATCAAAAGATTTTGTTTAATTAACAAAAAAAATTGTCAACTTTATATTAACAATAAATTTGTTGATTTTACTCAAGTTTTTTATTCAGTGCACCTTAAAAAAATATAACTATAATACTACTATAAAACAGACAAACAGCATTTTAACTTGAAAACTAAAATAAAAAAAAAAATTTTAATAAAATATATTTGTATAAAAGTAAAAATATTTTCAAACTATTTTAATACTCTTAATACAATTCAAATATCCTAAAAATTTTAAATATCATTTATAAACCTAGTATAAAAATATATAACATCGATAATTTTTTAATTTTTTTCTAGACCGAAGACTTCCATTGAAGAACAATGGGAAAAAAATCGATGCTTTGAACTCACTTCCGTTGAACAAGAAACTTTTGAAAGATATTTCTACCAAAAAGAACATTGGAATTATTTTACAAATGACGAAGATCTAGGTCCGGTAATTCTTAGTTTAAAACAAGAGAGCATAAACGGCCGAGATCAATTCAGGTATAGTATTCTCTTGTTAAGTACCCAGAAGGTTTTTATAGAATTATGTATTTTACACAGAATACTAGTCAGAGCGATTAGTTATACAGTACATGGTCTTATTCCTGCATCATGTGTGTTTGCCGACCGATATAACCGTGAAGAAGTAGTCAGATCTTTAGGAAAAGAAATTAACCTTAATCCACCACTTGTACTCGGTCAGCTACCAGATACAGCAGACGAACTGCTTAAACTAGATCAAGTGTTTATGAAATCTGAACTCAAAGTTGGGGTAATCTATGTGAAAGAAGGTCAAACTACCGAGGAAGAAATATTAGACAATAATGAAAATAGTATAGCATTCGAAGAGTTTTTGGGATTATTAGGAGAGACTAAAAGACTTTGTGGTAAGTTTTACAAAATGACTCCACATAATATTTCAATTAATGAAAAAATTACCCAGGTTTTGATAAATATCGTGGAGGATTAGACACAGTACATGATTTAACGGGTACCCATTCTGTGTACACAAATTGGAGAAACATTGAAATTATGTTCCACGTATCTACTATGTTGCCATATGAAGCTCATGATGCTCAAAAAGTAACGTTTTATAAGAAAAAATTTAATTGCTTACTATATAAAAATATTTATTTTTATAGTTACAACGAAAACGTCATATTGGCAACGACATCGTATGTGTTGTATTTCTTGAAGCTGACAACACGAGGTTTTCACCAGCTTGTATAAAATCACATTTTCTTCATACATTCATATTAGTTAGAGTTAGTCCAAGAATAAGAAGAAAAACAGAAAGAACAAAATATGAGGTATAATAAAAAACTATTTATGATTAAATCATTTCATAATAAATTTAACTTATCCATGTTATGTACATCGTTTTGCCAGGTTTCGGTAGTTACCAGAGATGAAGTAGGAGCATACAAACCATATCTTTGGGAACAATCAGTTTTTGAAGAAAAAGACATGTTTCGTGAATGGATTTTGACAAAAATTGTTAATGGGGAACGAGCTAGTTACTCAGCACCAAAATTTGCTAGAATGCAAGAACGCACTAGAAGTCAAATGTTAGAAGATATAGTTGCCAATCTACAAAATCACTGTGAGACTGGACAAATACCAAAACCATATAGGTATATAAAAAAAAAACTATTTTTTCTATTATTTATTATTAATTTCTTATAGGAGAGGTTCGTGGCGTCCTATTGGTCACATGAGACCATCAAGTCCTCTATTAGATTCCGTTAGAGATAGATTTGAAGATTATGATACTTTAGCTAAAGACTTTACAAAATTCTTTATTAACTCTGAAACAAATGTTACTCAAAATGGTCATTTGTTTGACGTTGTATTCTTGGTTGGTCAAAGCAAACAAAAAACTAAATTTATAGGTGTCAGAGCCATTTTGGGCGTACGAAGTAGGCAAGTATTTAAAGTTACACTAATAAAAATATATGCATACATTTATGTGTATATTTGAATTAAAGTCCATAATCACTAATAAATACATTTTATAGAGTATTCCAGGAAATGCTGTACGGTATTTCGACTGGGTTCGGATCTCCCCAAATGCCAGTAGCAGAACTATTAGCGCGAGGTCTTCCAAGTCTACCGTCACAACAACAACAAAAAACTAAAAGTAGTAACTTTTTACAAGTTCCAGATATAGAAACACCAAGGTTAGCATTATTTGACATTAATTACTAAATTAAATTATTTCATTTCATTTTGTTATCATTTATTTTTTAATGTTTATTAAATAGAGCTAAAAGTGTTCCAAGTTCTCCAATGATGCGAAGAGCTTTTACTCGTTTAGGAACTCTTACGGCTGGTTGGAGCAAGTCTATTAGGAAGCAACAAAACCTAACTGTTGATGACAAAAAGAAATGGGCATCATCACAAGATTTTAGTCGTAAATAAATAATAAAAAAGGTCAAATGATTCTCATCTATTTAACATTTATTTTGGCTATTTCAGATAAAGAAAAAGAAAAAGACCGAGAAAAAGAAAAAGAACGATTGGCTCAATTATCGGTGCCAAAAGTGAGCGTTTGTCCAAATAACGGTGGAGACAAGATTGATCGAGCCAAATTAAATCAAACTGAAGTATAATTAATATAATTTTTTTAACCTAAGGTAAATTATTTGATTATAAATTATTTTCATATAGTTTTCAATTATTGAATTCGATCCTGATACATTTCGTATATTACTTGATTACTTACACACGAGTTCTTGCAAAATTACTTGTGCTAACGTTCCTGGACTGATTTGTGCAGCAGAACATTATGATTTACCGGAGTTATTACAGGCGTGCTTCCACCACACAAAGCAACATTTAAGGGTAGACGTAGTGAGTATACTCACATAATGGAGTAGCTAATATTTTTGATAATCAATTCCTAGTCTAATTATTAATATTTTCTTTTAGATATGTCTGATGTTAAACAGTCTTGAAAATTATGTTTGGCGTTATAATTCAGCTGTGGAATTGGTCAACTTGATATTTACTTATATTGAACAAAATGCGTTAAGGGTATAATACGTATAATATTTTGATTAAGTATGTTCATTTAAAACATATATTTTGATATCATTAACAGGTACTCAATCATTGTGATTTTCTCACACTTTCTGAATCTTTGGTACAGCAAATTATGAGTAGACCCTTAGAAGTATCAGAAATTCGTAAATTTCAAGCTATGATCAAATGGGCAACCACCAAAAGTGAGTCAAAGACTAATGCCAAAGAAGAATTTCATCATATTATGACAAGACTTAAAAAAGATATTAATCTTGTAAAAATTGCACCCAACGATCTCATTAACGTAAGATCTACAATTTTATCCATAAGAATAGATAGTGTTTGAATAATTTTTTTTTTATTTTAATAATTTTAGATCGTACTACCTACAAGAACTGTTGATAATCAAGATATTTTGGCAACTCTCTGTAAACAAGCCGGTACAGGAGAGTACAAAATTGAAAAGACTGTATTCGAGAGGCTTAGTAGACATAGATCCGATTGGGATCATGTCGAGCCATATATATAATTTTAATACTAGTTAAATGAAGACCATTTAGAATATTATATCGTATAAGATGTGTTAAGATTTTATTGAAACTAAGTATGTAATTGTTTTTATTAAATTCAATTAAACTAGTTTTTATTTAAAATATAATTAAAAAAGGTTGTTAAATAATTTTTCTCTATATTGTAATATCAGATACTTTTTTCGAAAGTATTTGAGCATTGGGTAATCATGACCATACAGTATTACAAAAATAATGTATAAGTTATGACGTCTCGGAGCTTATGTTCATATAAACTTTAAAATATTAAGGTATTCAGGTATTGTTTGACTTTCTTGAAGTATTTTAAAGTAATACCATTACAAAATATTACATAAATTTATGAAGTTATAAAAATATAATACATTAATAACGTGTGAATTGATTTGTTAATGTTTATATGTATATAGTGTTTTTTTCGTTATGTGAAAAATAAATATAAGTGTTATAATTATTTACAGTTTAAGAGAATTTATTATAAGTTTTGGCAAACGTGCCGCCTACCAAACGATAATCATAATTTTTTTTTATGATTTTTTTTACATATTTACTTGAAAAATTTATTAATTATACAAAAATACCCTTTTCCCATTTTAAATTAAATGTGCATTAATAGTACTGTGGTAAATTTTACTCAATAATAATTTAAAAATAAATATTTACTGAGAAAGAAACAACTATAAATAGTATTTTTACTCGCATAAAAATGTAACAAGTATATGCAATGATTGTTTATTAAAGACTGTGTAAAAAAATCACTTTGTTCGTTAATACTTAGAAGTCATCTTTTTGGAGATAGTTATTCAATAAAATCGTTTAATAATCACATTGCACTCCGATATTTACATATTTATTTTGTTTATAGTTAATATTTCCTTATCTAAAATGAAATTATACAAAACATTAAACTGATTAGATAATATTTCAATATATTTTTTGACATATAATGAAATTGATATTCCAAAATCACTCAAATTTGTCATGCCATTCATAGTACATCATATAACTTTTAAGAATATTCTACTAAACGCACCTAACAAATTCTTTTAAAGTAATTACCAACAACAGCGAAGTATTATTTCTTGACCATTCATTATAATTTGTTATTTTTATTAACCTATAAAATTACTCTGAACTAATCATTGGCATTTTTCTTCTCATAATAATGACAACTATAGCCAACAGTTGTTTCTTGTATCAAGTATTAAGTAAAAATAGATAATCACACAATAAAAAATTTCTGCAACGCTTTTTTTTTTTGGATCCCAAATAAGACTAATTGATTATTTTTGTCTCGTCAAATATCATTGACTTATAATTTTTTCACCTATAAAACAGCGCTATACTAAAAGATACTTACACGTAATGTGTCAAAAAGAGTGATGCCGAAATTTCTTAATACGTGATCTATCTATTTGTATTTATTCAATGCTTGTACTAATGTACAGATTTTTTTTCATCTATTTTTCCTTTTTTTTTTTTGCGTGTATGTCTTATTATAATAAATTGTCAACTATATGTATTTTTAAAATCATAATTATACATTAATATTAACACACGATCTTTTATTACAAGTTTGTCTATTAAACTTTAACAATGTTAAGTTTTAACATTTTTATTTTCGATAATATTAATGAAATTGTATAATACAGGACAATATTCTTTAAAAAAATATTAAAATGTCTTTAAAATAGTACAGTTTCTATTATATGTACTAAAATATAATTGGTATTTTATATTTTCTTTTTTTTGCTAATTCATATTTTATTAAAGCAAAATATTGAATTTTAAACATAAAAACAAGATAATTATATCTGTATAAAAAAAATTAAATTCGTTGTCAAAGTTTTATTTGCTATAATATTTTATGTAAAAATAGTATAAAATTCTGTTTCTTATATAATTACAAAAAAAATATTAACGTTGATGTGTATATTATGGTTATTATTACTATTATTAAACATATGACAAAATTTTTGTATAAAAATGAAAGTAAAGTTTCAATAAAAAAATGTGAATTAATTTGTTATTTTTATATAAATATAATATTATAGACTTATCAAAACTCCAATTACAAAGGGTTAAAAAGTAATATTTTGTATAGAAAGAATTACAATTGAATTTGTTTTTACTATTGCAGTAAAACTATAAATATCAAACCAAGCAAATAATTTTATATATTTTATTAGGTACCAGGGGCAGCAGAAGGTCAAATCTAGCAAATAACTTACCTAGAACACTTGAAAAAGCTTCATATGCATAGATTAAAAGCAAAGAAAGGTTTCTTTTATTAAAAATATAAAAAGGACCCTGAGAAAGCGATTTTGCATTTGGTCCCGCAATATTTTGCACCGGCATTGTTGGGTAAAACCTAATAAATGTAAATTAAATTTTAAACATGTATTTTTGACGTTTGGAGTAATATAAACTCATTATTACATAACATTAATATAAATATTAATTTATTCCTAACTTAAAAGCAGTAGTACCATTTGGAAAAATACAGGTAGGGCATTGTCCCTCTCATATTTTGAAACCTTTCTTTCAGTTAAGGAACTTCTTTGACAAATCAAATATTGTTATGTACTTAGCTACAAGTTAAAAATTTTCGAAATTTGTTGTTTTTTTATTTGTTTTGTTAAATTAAAATTCAGTGTCAACCTAGCCATCTTAATGTCTAGCACATTCTAATAGCCTTCAAATATTATTTATTATTAAAAACTCATATTCCATGAATATCCAAGCACCTACACATATTTTGTAATAGGTGATATTAGAGGGTTAATCCCACAGGAAACTTGTATATCCTCCTTCCAAATTAAAAATCATTATCATATATTAGTGTCCCGATGTCGTTACTTTATAAATTATTCTAGCTTTTCCGAAAATATTACTAAATATCCTCCAATATTCCTCTGGCTTAGAGCATTGAAACTACACCACATTAAAATTTACAAGTTCCTAGATTATTAGTATTTATTTATTCATACACTTAATTACTACATAATTAAATAATAATTTGATTTCATATAAAAAATGATTACTGCCTAACAAAACAAATCAGTCACTTAAGTTTCAATATTCAACGAATCTACTTGACATGGTTGGCCACACTGGTGTATACTCCGTACTTGCCTCGACAACTACAACCCCTTTCAAAACTGGTAACCCCCACTATGGCCCATCAACCTCACATTTTGAATAACAGCGGACCGCCCAAGTCACCAGAACAAGTGTCTGCTCGACCATCTGCATAACCTGCACACAACATGTTTTCTGTAATCTTATGTCGTCGATAAGCCATTTGACACTTTCGATAATTTATAATTGGCATCTTAATGTTTACAATAAAATATTATAATAAAATAAAAAATTGTTTATTAAAAATACATATGAACACAATTTAAACATTAAAAACAAATAATTATTTTTATGTACATTAGGGTGGTTCAAAAAGCACGACTTCAGATATTTGATCACGTCACCCCCCCCCCTATTTTTTTATTTTATATAGAAAACTTAGACTGTGAAAATTTGGAGTCATCAAACTACCTCTTCCCGTGGCTCATTGGGGTTGAAGTTAGACTAAATAGGATTGTTTTTACATTTATTTCAATAAATATTATAGTTAGCATAAAAATGTATAGAAAAAAAACTATTTAATATTAAATTTCAAACAAAAAAGATTTTAATATATTTTTTCTAAAATTTATCATTATTGTGATAATTCAAAAATATCTTTAATTTTTATAATTTTATGAAATTAATAATATTATGACTATTTACCATTTATACGCCAGAAAAAATTATTATCACTTTAATGCTCTGTAAGTTAAATAGTGTTTGTAATTGGAGACTATAAAAATTGGAGGGACTTTATCCCTACTTCCTTACCTCACCAAAAGTCTGTTGGTAGATCAGAGTTTATAAATTAAGTTTAGAAAAGAGTTTATAAATATCTTTTGCATTTAATGAACATTTTGTTGGATAAACTGTTTGTTAATCATATTTAAGTTTAGCTTATTTATCTATCATCTTTCTTTTAATTATACTGGAATCCTTTCATCAAATGAAGCAAAACCCATATATTCTTCTTTCAAGTACCACAAATGATAGCAAAATTTTTTTATGAATATGTCTGCTTTTTCCTTATGTATTTGTTTATAAAGTACTTATTTTTTAAAAAAATTAATATCAATTTAATATTCTTATTTAAGTTTTAATAGTTTTTTGCAGGTAAACCATTGTTGTATGTAATAATAAAACAGCATACGTCTTTTAAAGCAGAACTTTCTTTAAAAGTAATTGATGCCTAAATATGTAAATTTTTAAACAATAGATGGCTTTTGCTATCCATCTTGCATAGTGATATGCCCCAGGTTGCTTGGATTAAATTCCATTTGGTGGTATATATACTAAAATAATAATTATTAGCTCTAAAAACTCTTATTAGTCATCTCAAAGATAATCGTATTTGATTTTATTTTCTGCGAATGACAAAATCTCATAAACTACATCATGCTGTATCATATTATCATATTATAATGCATTTAACATTGTAGTAAACTTTGACGTATCTATAATCTAAAAAGAAATGAAATAAACGATCAGTCTTCTTTTCTAATATCAAATAAAATTTATAATAAAACAGTTCTTTTATAACGAAACAACAAGAAATCAAAAACTAAAATTAAAATCATTAACTAAGTTGATTTGACTAGATATTATTATATATTATGAATCAAAGAAAACTAAACCTACTCAGAGAACTATTAGAAATTAATTAACAATATATACCAGTCAAATGAAAGGCTTGTTCAGTTTGCATCATATGTCATTCTTACGAGTTATTTTGGAAGTAGCTTCTCAAGAAGCACAAAATGTGCAAAGAATCATCTCCTAAACGGCTTCTTATTTTGCTGGCCAGAAAACGATGATTAGCGGATGAGAACGCCCTTTCGGATTCGACGTTAGTTGGAACCACAGATCTTAGGCAGTCATCCGCGAACTGTAAAAGTCTCCTTTTGAGTCTCTGGACTCGTATAAATTTATTTCCTTTTTGATTAATGACTCCAACGAATTTGTAGTTAGTTTTCTGTCTCTAAGTTCTTTGAACACAGCAGTCAATGTTTCCTGAAGTTCTTCTTGCAATGAAATACTCTTGCGTTTGCGTGACTCAGAAAGAGATGAAAGCAGTTCATTATCGTTACAGTCATAATCAAATTCAGCAATATCATTATTGGTGGCAGCTGATGTTGATGCGATCAACCAAGATGTATCTGAATTTGTCTGTGTCTGTGAATTAGTCTGATAGTGTTGTGAATGTAAGCGCTCTATAAATGATTTAATTTCAGTTCGAACCAAATTTTTCGGAGGAAATTTAAAGGTTTCGTCTTTTGCAAACTCTTCTTTACCTGCTTGGTATTTAGCTGGATCTCTAATATATAATAAGCATACTGTCAAATTTATCCGACGCTCAACAATGCGCTTTCTCAAGGAGTCAGCTAGTTTTTCTGCCAATGGAGTTTTCAGCTCTTCCAGTTTACGAATCATGAACCTAAGTTTTATTTCTGCTATAGCCAAGTCAGTATCTCGACGACATAACACCACCATAGCCTGTTTTACAGGTTGAAATACCTTCTCTAAGTTCACTAAAACCGCATGTTTATGAGATTTTGTCATTCGCAGAAAATAAAATCAAATACGATTATCTTTGAGATGACTAATAAGAGTTTTTAGAGCTAATAATTATTATTTTAGTATATATACCACCAAATGGAATTTAATCCAAGCAACCTGGGGCATATCACTATGCAAGATGGATAGCAAAAGCCATCTATTGTTTAAAAATTTACATATTTAGGCATCAATTACTTTTAAAGAAAGTTCTGCTTTAAAAGACGTATGCTGTTTTATTATTACATACAACAATGGTTTACCTGCAAAAAACTATTAAAACTTAAATAAGAATATTAAATTGATATTAATTTTTTTAAAAAATAAGTACTTTATAAACAAATACATAAGGAAAAAGCAGACATATTCATAAAAAAATTTTGCTATCATTTGTGGTACTTGAAAGAAGAATATATGGGTTTTGCTTCATTTGATGAAAGGATTCCAGTAAAATTAAAAGAAAGATGATAGATAAATAAGCTAAACTTAAATATGATTAACAAACAGTTTATCCAACAAAATGTTCATTAAATGCAAAAGATATTTATAAACTCTTTTCTAAACTTAATTTATAAACTCTGATCTACCAACAGACTTTTGGTGAGGTAAGGAAGTAGGGATAAAGTCCCTCCAATTTTTATAGTCTCCAATTACAAACACTATTTAACTTACAGAGCATTAAAGTGATAATAATTTTTTCTGGCGTATAAATGGTAAATAGTCATAATATTATTAATTTCATAAAATTATAAAAATTAAAGATATTTTTGAATTATCACAATAATGATAAATTTTAGAAAAAATATATTAAAATCTTTTTTGTTTGAAATTTAATATTAAATAGTTTTTTTTCTATACATTTTTATGCTAACTATAATATTTATTGAAATAAATGTAAAAACAATCCTATTTAGTCAAACTTCAACCCCAATGCGCCACGGGAAGAGGTAGTTTGATCGACTCCAAATTTTCACAGTCTAAGTTTTCTATATAAAATAAAAAAATA